CTGTCTGGCTTGGGCAAGTCACTTCACTTCTCTGAGCCTCAGTCTGCTTGTCTGCAAAATGGGAGAGCCAAGGTCTACCTCCCTGGATTGCTGTCAGGTTCAGTGATGGGCTGTGTATAAAGTGTGGCACAGTTACTGAACTGGTATGACTTACCCCTTAAGGACCCCTTCTGTCTGGCCCCTCCCAGGCCCCATGCTGCTCCCAAACTCCTCCCAAGCCTCAGTCCATCCCACCAGGGGCCCACTTCACCCTGAAGTTACCCAGAGGCCACCTCTTCTGTCCAGCCCCTTCTCTGGGCTCCCTGCCACCCTCCCCACCCCTTATCTCCTGACAGAATATCCCAGACCACAATCCATGCTGGAGGTTTCTAGAATTTGTGGAAGAAAGGCCTCATGCTGGTGGCGGGGCAGGGGGGAGGATTCCGAGGCCTGGGTGACCCACACCCCCTGGGCCTGCCTGCTTCCAGGAGAAGGGTCCTGGTACCTCCTATTTTCCCAGCCAGGAGGCCTGCTGGTTCCCACATTATCACATGAATGGGGCACAAGCCCCCCTGTCCACTCAAGCAAACAATTTGGCTAGCAAATTGACATAATTACAAGAGACAGAGAGGGAAGAAAGACGCCCCACCGCCATGACCCCCCAGTGGGCGGCTCCCTCAGATTTCTTCCCCGGCTTTGTGGGCCCAGAGCTCAGGGCTGATTAGAAACCTTGTGGCCTTTTCAAGAGCCCTAAGTGATTGGTCTCCTTAATCTGATTACAATTTGCAGAGCCCCTCCAGCCGCCTCTGAAGGGCCTTTCTCAAGCACCCTACTCCATCATGCCCGTATATGAGTACACACACACACACACACACACACACACACACAGACACACACACACACACACACACAGCACCCACTCCCTTACCATGCTGTACTTCCTCAGCCAGGGGTCTCGGAGCCACCCAGTTGCCACCCTCAGGCCCCATTTCTCTGCAAGGTGTGCCCCAAACCTTAGACATGGGGATGGCACTGCCCCTAACACACTGGGTCATCCACCTTTAGGGTGACCCACACAGACGCATGCCCGGGCCAGGGGCACATGTGTACACTGGGTGTGAACTCATAAAACACACACACCCCTACGGGTACACCTCCCCACCACCCACGAGGCCACCGGGGCATCCAGGACTATGCTACTGGGCTCCCTCAGCCACAGTCTCAGGGGCAGCCCAGTCTCCACAGCAGCCACATTTCCAGGGTTCCTGGGGCTCAGCTCCCAGGGGATTAGGCCCAGCAGGCAGCCTGGCCACGCTCAGGCTGCTCTGGCCGCTCCCCCCTTGGGAACTCAAGGGGGCTGCAGTCAATGGCCTCGCCCTCCACATCCAATTTGTAGCTCATAATCCCCTGGGCTGAGCCACGATGGTTCCTTTGCCCAAACTTGCTCCTAGCTTTCACGGGCCCCAGCCTGGCTTCCCGTACCAAACGGAGGCCCCCAAGGGCAGGAGCTTGGGATGGGGCTGGGGTGGAGGGCAAAGCTGGGGCAGGGCAGAAGGGGACAGGCGAAGAAGTAGAGATGGGGTGGGGACAGAGGAGGCTCTGCTATTGTTAGCGAATGATCTCCACCCTTGGCAGGTGGGGGTGGGGATGGGGGGACATGGCGGGGAGGGGAGGAAAGTTTGGCATGTATGTGGGGGTGCAGGACCAAGGGGCCCTACATAGTGACCCCCAGCCCTGCTGCACCCCCGTCTTTTGGAACCCCCAGCCTGGAGGGCTCCACTTAGGGTCCCCCCTATCGTTTTCTCCAATCATCATCTCTGGACACCAGCCTGGGCCGACAGCCAGAGGGGCTCAGACATTGGAATCAGAGGGACCTGGGCTCAAGGTTCACCCGAGCACCACCTTCAATAGCACTGTGACCCGGGCAGGTACCTTAGCATCTCTGGGCTTCAGTTTCCCCACCTGTAAAATGGGACTGAGACAGCCTCGCTCTCTCAGGGTTTGGGGAGGTGATGTAACACAGGGCATGGAAAGCCCTCAGCACCAGTAAGCACCATCAAACACGCAGGTGGGGGACAATCTCTGGTGTGCCCCTGCAGCCCTGCAGGGCTCAGTAAGGACCTCCGTAGTTGAGTTTTCAGGACAAGCCTGCCCAGTGGCCAGTTGCCAATATTTTTAAGACCTCTCACCCCTGCCCAGGTGACGTAGAGCTGGTTTGGGAAACAGGAGCGCTACCCTGATCTCTTTCTCGGGAGGAGCTGGGCTTGGGCTCCTAGCGCCCCTTCGACATTGCCCAGAGGTCACCCGCCGACCCCTGTCCTGGGCGCCCTCCCGGCGCAGCGCCCAGGCCACGTGAGGAGGGGCAGGGCCCCGCCCTGCTCCGCAGCCCTCTGGGTTGGGCCTCAGACCCTTAGCGGGCTCTCGGGGCAGACAAGCACTCGAGGACCTCCGCCACCCTGTTCCCCGTCGCCGCGCCGCCAGGCCCCTCCCAGGCCCTCCGTGGGCGTTCCCCGCTGGGCTGGGCCGGCTCCGCCGGGGGAGGGAAGCTAGGGAAGGGATCAGCTGAAATCAAAGCCGCCGCTCCCCTCCCCGCCACGCCGTACCCCTGCCGAGCCGCCGCGCACCTCCTCCTTTGTCACAATGTTTTTCAATCCAGGGAAGCAAACTGTCCAATTAGAGCCGGGGCCTTCGGCTTCCATCTTTGCCGACGTTTAATTAACATGCTCCTCTTGGCAGCTGCTGACAAGTTCCAGAAACAGGTTGTAAAGGGTTTTTGTCTTTACCCAGCATGGAAAATGAAGGGTGTTACATCGCGGGAACATGAATAGGTTGCATTTCAGCTCCCTCTTCCCCTCCCCCTTTCCTCCTCTTCCTCATCCCCCCGCCCCCCTCCTCTAGTAAGAGGAATGGAAGCCCCGACTGTGTAGGTGTGTGTGAATCGAGGGGGCGGTGGGGGTGGGGGTGGCAGTGGGTGGAAGGGGTGTAGGCAGGAGAAACCTTCCCCTCCTTGTCTACTCACCTCTTCTGCCCCAGAGTCTTTGCTCCACAAAAGATCCGGCTTCTGCATCTTGTTCTCTGTCTTATTCTCCCATCTGTCACGCTTTGGCCTCACCTCTCTCCCAGCCGTACCAAACCTCACCACGCTGATTCCTGCCCATAGGTCTCTGCCCATGCTGTCCTGTTGCCATCCTGATAAACTCCTATTCAACCTCCAAAACCCTGCTCAAATGACCCTGCTTTGAGGAGCCACCTGGGCACCAAATGCCTCTCCAGCCACACCTGGCAGAATTCAGGGTGGATACTGGGTGTCAGGTCTATCCCCAGCTAGACTGTGAGCTCCCTGAGGGCCGGAACTGTGTGTTACTCTGCCCAGGGCAGTGGCAGGTACAGAGTCTGGGCTCAGAAAATGATGGTAGATGGAGATCTAAACTGCTGAAGCCTTGCACCATTGTGGAGGGAGACCAGGGTGGGCTTGGCAGGGAGGAAGCAAGAAAGGGCTAGGGGAGGAGGACTGGCCCAAAGGAGTCCTTCCTACCCCTACCCTTCCCGAGTGCCCTTAAGATTAGGAACAGGGTCTCAAGGAGGGCAGAGCAAGCATGGTGATTTCCATAATGAGTGAGGGTTCAGGGATGGCTGCTCAGGCCCCTCCCCCCTTGGGAACTCTGCTCACTGGGGCTGCAGTCAATGGCCTGAGCCCTTCACAAGGCAAGGAGGGGCCTTGCAGAAAGACCTCAGCCCAGGGGCTGAGCCCTCACAGGGACCCTGGCTAGAGGCAGGCTCCAGGACCCTAGGTTCTTCCTCTTCAGCCTTGGATGGGTGGCAGCGCGTGTATGTGTGTGTGTGTGGTTGGGGGTGGTGTTGGGGGGGGGTCAGGGCTGGGGCAGGAGGCTAGGTCTCTTGGGTCCTTCTGTCCTTCAAACCAGCCCTGCTGGGGCATTCACACTCATTCTACAAAGAATATCGAGGCCTTTATTCACAGAGGCCGCCATCTGCGTGGTACAGAGGATGGGAGGTGCTGGTTGAGGGGCAGGCAGGGGATGGAAGAGCCCAGCAGGCAGTGGCTAGCAGCTAAGCTGTCCCCTCTGAGGGCTCAGGTCTACCCCTGGCCCCAGCCCCACTCCTGGCCTGGCATTCTCAGGATGAGGCCACTGAGATCCCAAGCAGCAGGGCTTCTGCAGCTAGAACCTGGCTTGGACGCCCACTGTGTCTGTCGCTACTCCTTCTCCATTCCCAGGCAGGCCTCCATCGAGGAAGGGGAGGAGAGGCGTGCAGGCCTGCAGGCAGGGCACTGCTGGCCTTGCTCTTGTGTTTCCAGCCAGGTCAGCATCTGGGACAGTCCATGGAACCTGCAGGGAGAGAGCCAAGAGCAGTGGGCCACTGCTGAGTCCTGCTGTAGCCTCTCCTGGAGGGGGTGGGCATCAGAAGCAACTGGTTACAGCCTTGCTCTTCTCTTTTCTTAAATCCCAACATTCTCTCCTGCCACCTTACTCAGTCTCTCGCTCCAGACCCAACTGTCTCGAAGCCCTGGCCTCCAAGGAGGTCAAGTAAGGGCCATCAGAGCAATGATAATAACCTGGGTTCAGACCCCAATTCCTTCACTTGCCAGCCATGTGACCTTGAAGAGCTCGAACCTCTCCCAGCCTTTATTTCCTCATCTATCAAAAAAGGGGAAGTAATTGCACCAGCCTTGTAAAGTCCCTGGGTGATGCAAACAAATGGTTTCGGTTCAGCTACTAATCAAAAGGTCAGCAGTTCAAATCCACCCAGTGACAACTTGGAAGAAAGACCTAGTGGTGTGCTTCTGTAAAGATCACAGCCAAGAAAACCCTATAGAGCGGTTCTACTCTGTAACACATGGGGTTGCCATGAGTTGGAATCGACTTGATGGCAGCGGGGTTTGGTTTTGGTTTGTAGAGTTCTTGGGAGGGTTAGATAAGCAAAGCATGAGAAAGGGCTTTGAGAGGAGGCAAAGAAATGTTAGTTGATGGAAAAAAGGAAGGAAGGAAGAAAGGAAGGGAGAGAGAGAGGCAGAGAGGTAGGGAGGGACAGAGGTGGGGAAGGAGGGAGGGAGGGTCTTGCCTGAGCTGATCAATAGAATAGAGCCAGCCAGTCCTGTCATCTCCACTTTCACAGATGAGGAAATTGAGGCTCAGTCTCTAGGGTGATGAGAATTCTTAAAGTCACACAGCCAGTAAGCAGCAAAGCCAGGTATCCATCCAGGCCTTCTTCCATCTATTCCTTCCAGCTCATTGCTCCTTCCACATATTCCTGTGTCTGTCTAGTATAGATGGACTTCTTCCACCAACCCAGCGTGTCCACTCCACCCTAAGCAGGAGGAGTGGAAGCTCACAGCCTCACTTCTTGATTCTCTCTCTCCCTTCCTTTCTTTTAGTTTTACTGTGGTAAAATATATATATAACATAAAATTTGACATTTTTACCATTTTTAAGTGTACAATTTGGTGGCATTAATTGCACTTACAATCTTGTGCAACCTTCATCACTACCTATTTCCAAAACATTTTCATACCCCAAACAGAAACTCGGTACCTATTAACTGATGCTTTCTTTTTGCCCCTTTGCTGGTGACATTTGATTCCTAGCACTGGGCCCCTACCTGGGACAACCTGCCCTTCATTCCCCATGGGCAAGGCAAACCTATGCTCACCTGCCTTTCACCATTCCTGGGGGTTTAGGATGTCACAGGCTGAGGGTGGGGTCCTCCGGGCGGTAGTTCTCTTCCTCCTGTTTCTCAGGTATCTGCAGAGAAAGGAAGCAGCTCCAAGAGCCCTGCTCAAAGCAGCGTTAAGTAGCCTTGATGGAACTAGATCAGCCCGGGTAAACCAAAACAGCAAATAGTGTGTGGCGGGCGCCACCTTATGGTTACTGCGAAGATTGCATGCTGTGGAGCAGGGCAGTCCTTCACAAAGTTTACCATGTCCCTAAGTCGCACCCAGGCAGGCACTGTCCTGGGTGCTGGAGCATAGCAAGGACCAAGACAGAATCCTTTCCCCACCAGGGCAATGGGGATGTGTTCAAGGGAAATGCACAGTGACAGTAAGAGTTTTAAAGGCACACGAGGGGCTGATAACCCAGGCTGGAGGGATTCCGGGAGGATGTGCTGAACCCACTCTTGAAAGATGAGTAGGAGCGGGCCAGGTGAGAGGAGGGGGAGGCTCCAGGCCTGTGGTAAGAGACACCATGACAAACTTCCTGAACTGCAGACAGGTCAAAAAAGAGGTGGGAGCTGTGGGGGAGACCAGAAATGAATCGGGAGTGGGGCGTGGGGCAGATCAGCCCTGCCTTAGCCTCAAGGCTTAGACTTGATCCTAAAGACTGCCTCATCTGTGGTCCTCTAGGAACATCTGTCTCATCCCCATTTTCTGGGAAGCCACTTCGCCTTCCAGCTAAACCACCCAGAGGCTGGGGTGGGGGGCGGGGGTAGGCTGCAGGGACGGCTTGATGGTGCTGAACTTCCATTAGCATGGAATTATATTGCTCCCAACCAAGTACTGCTGCCGGATATAGAGCTGAGAGAAGGTGTGAAGTTTGAATAAATTATAAAGATCAAAACAGATCCAAGAGTGAAGGAGATTCTATGTACGGGAACTGATAATATTTTAGAGCTTATTTTATTAGCATTAAATCCATGTGGTTCTAATTGTGGTGTCTAAAATATTTTAAATATAGAATAAAAATATTTATGCAACCAAAAAATGTATTGAGAATGTAATAACACAGAAAGATTCTTAAGATAGGGAGTTAGACAGAAAGAGCAGGATACCAAATTGGGTGTTTAATATGATCTCAACTGTGTAAGAAAAATTTAGGCAGAGAAAAAAAAGACGAGAAGGAAATATACAAAAAATATTAACAGTGTCTGAATTCAGGTGATGGAACTTCTTTCTATTTTTCTCTATTTCCAGATTTTCTTTAATGAGCTTCTAATCATTTATAATTCAAAAAAAATTTTTGTTATTGGGTGCTGTCAAGTCTATTTTTGAGTCATAGCAATCCCATGTGACAGAGAAGAACTACCCCATAGAGTTTTCTAGGCTATAATCTTTACGGGAAGCTCTGGTGGTGCAGTGGTTAAGAGCTTGGCTGCTAACCAAAAGGTTGGTAGTTTGAATCTACCAGCTGCTCCTTGGAAACCCTATGGGGCAGTTCTACTCTGTCCTGTACGGTCGCTATGAGTCGAAATCAACTCGACGGCAATGGGTTTGGGTTTTTTAATCTTTACGGGAGCAGATCACAAGGTCTTTGTCCCACGGAACTGCTGAGTGGGTTCGAACCACCAACCTGCTGGTTGCAGCTGACTGCTTAACTGTTTTACTACCAGGGCTCCTCAAAAAACCATTTAAGAGGAGTGAATTTCAGAGGATTACTAGTTATGTACATGGAACTGGTTTATAATGGACATCAGTTACAATTACCCTGAAAACTTCTGGTATGGTTTTAAAAATACAGAGACAAATGAAAAGTGATGCTGGGTCATCCTTTGACCCAGGGGTCCACAGACACAGGCCTGTGCTTAGTCTGAGGGAGCAGAGCAGAAGGCAATAGGGGCCTCTGTCATCCTCCATCATCCAATGCAGCTTGTTGTCGTTGTTAGGTGCCGTCGAGTCGGTTCCGACTCCCAGCGGCCCCGTGTACAACAGAACGAAACACTGCCTGGTCCTGCGCCATCCTCACAGTGGTTGCTATGTTTGAGCCCACTGTTGCAGCCACTGTGTCAGTCCATCTCATTGAGTGTCTTCCTCTTTTTCACTGACCGTCTACTGTACCAAGCATGATATCTTTCTCCAGGGACTGGTCCCTCCTGATAACATGTCCAAAGTACATGAGATGAAGTATCACCATCCTTGCTTCTAAGCAGCACTCTGGCTGTACTCCTTCCAAGACAGATTTATTCATTCTTCTGGCAGTCCATGGTATATTCAGTATTCTTCACCAACACCATAATTCAAATGTGTCAATTCTTCTTCGGTCTTCCTTATTCACTGTCCAGCTTTCCCATGCATTTGAGGCGATTGAAAACACCACGGCTTGGGTCAGTTGCACCTTAGTCCTCAGGGTGACATCTTTGATTTTTAACATTTTAAAGACGTCTTTTGCAGTAGATTTGCCCAATGCAATATGTCGTTTGATTTCTTGACTGCTGCTGCTTCCATGGGCATTGATTGTCGATCCAAGTAAAATGAAATCCTTGACAACTTCAATATTTTCTCCAGTGCAGATAAACACCTCCAATAATTATGCATGGGGAGGAAAGCCTGGCTGAAGTCATAGAAAGCCCAAATGTGTTATGTTTTTAAAGAAACTTGAGTTCTGCGATATTCCACTACTTTCAGCTTCTAGAACAGTGTTTCCCAAGTTGGATATCTGCGCTAATCCTGCTCTGGATGCTGAAAGTAGTGGGATGGCTCAGAACTCCATTTCTCTGCCAAAACGCAGAGTCCCAGGCCCTACTGAATTAGAATCTCTGGGGCAGCACCTGGGAGACTGCATTTTAATAAGGTCTCCAGCTGGTTCTTATGGAGACCAAAGTTGAGCGCTGCACTGTGGTTCTTAGCCCAGCCTGTATATTAGAATCATCTAGAAGCTTGAAAAAAATTCTTATGTCCAGGCCCTGCCCCAGAGCAATTAAATCCAAATCCCTGGGGGCTGGGAGGCCTGGGCTCTGGAATGGTTTAAGGCTCCCCACGTGATTGAAATGTGCATCTAGGACTGAAAACCACTGGCCTAGTGTGGTGGTTTGCGGACACTTTCTTCATCAGCATCACCTGGAGAGTCTGTTGAACCAGAGTGTGGGTCCCTGCCTCTGAGCTCTGGATTTTGTAGATCTGGGGTGGGGCCTGGGAATTTGCATTTGTAACAGGTTCCCAGGTGAGGCTGATTCTGCTGGTCTGGGGACCACACTGATCTAGAATACAGCTGACTGAGGCCTTTAGGGACACAGGTAAACTCCAGCTGCAGTCCAGACTATGGGTTGCTTCTGTGGCTATGGGTTCTCTTTCTGTGTAGAGAGGTCTGTACACACCAGCCACTCCAAACCCTGGGGTCCTGGAGGGGAGGGAGGGGAGAGCCTTCACGCCCCAGGAGATGTGGCCTCCCAGATGAATGTGCAGGATGGTGCAGGCTCTGTCCCCCACCCCGGCTTCTGGCTCCCAGGCCCCAGCCAGCTCCCTTGAGCAGGGGGACATGTCTGCAGAACTCACCTCCCAGTAGATCTTGTCCTCAAAGCAGTTCTCATCAGCGGGCTGTCCCCAGCATGGTAATTTCAAAATGATTCCTAAAGAAGTTTGGAGGTCAGCAGACACCACCCTGGGAAAACCCCTTTGGGGGCCTTGGGCTGAGGCGTGGATGTCCCCAGCCCCACAGCCAGGAGTGCAGCGACGAGGAGGTGCCCGGGAGCGGCAGGCTAACCTCTGGTATACACTCTTGGGTCCCCTGCCCAGGTAGTCCCACAGCCACCCCACCTCTTCAGCCCAGCCACCCTCACTCACCTACGATGCCGCCGCCCACCAGGGCCATGGCCAGGGACACAAAGATGCCGGCAGCCTGGAAGCTACCCTGAAGTTGTGTGGTCCTGTTACTATTGCTGCCTTCAAAGTCAAAAGCTTGGACAAGCCTGGGATGGAGACAGGGGGCAGGTCAGGGCCCCACTGAGAGGCAAGTCACCATTGCTGCATTCCACATATATGAGCAGGCACCAAGGCCACAGACTCACTAAACTCTGGGCCTCAGCCTTCCCATCTGCAAAACGGGAACATTGGACAGATCAGATGGTCTCTAAGACGTCTGTGGAGGTTGGCAAGAGAGGTCAACAGTCCAGAGTTGAAAAGAAAGGAGACAGAGACACATTCTTGGATCCCAGAGGAAGGAGGGATGGAGAAGAAACAAGGGAGCTTGACACCCCTGTGCCCCCATACTCACCCTTCATGCCCATACACCTCAGAGTTGGCGTAGGCTGCTGTCACTGCACCCACGATGCCGCCGATGAGGCCGGGCATGCCATGCAGGTTGTGAATGCCACACGTGTCCTGGATCTGCAAGTGGGCCTCCAGGAAGGGCTGGAGAGGGGAAAAGGGCGCTGCTCAGGCACAGGGGCTGTGTTGGGGCCCTTCAAATACAGAGACTTGGGATTCTCCAGCCCTCTGCCCCCTCCCTAGGGACCCTGCGCACTCTCAGCAGTCTCTAGCCCTTGCCCAGGCCCCTCACCCAGGCCCCTCACCGTCAGGTACACGAAGCCCAGGGTGGAGACAATGCCGCTGATACAGCCGACGATGACTGAGCCATAGGGCATGAGCATCATCTCACCAGCCGTGCCCACAGCCACTCCTCCCGCCAGCGTGGCGTTCTGGATGTGCACCTGGGTGGGAGGCAGAGCGGGTGGAACTCAGTCCTCTCCTTGGAGCACCTGCACTGCCCCCTCCTCAGAAGGGAGTGGGCCCAGAGTCCTCAGCAAGCCAGGAGCATGCAGAGGGCCTGGGCTTGGGACAGCTTCCACCCATACTAGCAGGTCCAGGCTTTTCCTGCATGCACACATGTCCACATGGGAGTACACGTGCACTTCCACATGCCTGTGAGCCTGGCAGCACATCTGTGCATTCCTTTTCTGTATGTGGGCCACATATGCTGTGTGCCCAGACACGCATGTCCCAACGTCCCCTAACATGCATGCATGCCCAGGGCAGGCATGTGTGGCCCCAGCATACGCTGCACTATGTCAGAGAGCCTGTGAACCTCAAAATAATAACAGTATCAGCTGACCCCCCTACCCCCACCCCGGGCCACTGGCTGGTGGAGAGACATCCCCTGGGACCCTGGCTGCTGGGAATTATTTCATTCAATCTCCACGACAATCTCTTGAGGTAATTACAGTTGTCTTTGGAAGTTTACAGATGAGGAAACTGAGGCACAGAGAGGTTAAATGACTTAAGGCCACAAGCAGAAGGGTGTCTTGATGCAGGTCTGCATGGACCCAAGTGCCTGTCCTAGACCCTAGTCCCAGTTCCTCCCTGCAGGTGGGTGGGGGATGCACCCAGGTGTGCCCATGTCAGCGTACCTGGTTCTCCTGTGCCTGAGTTCCCACCCACCTCTCTGCGAAGTCTACGTGTCTGTATCTAGTGCATCCAGGGGGCTCGTGGAAGTGTCCCCATACAACAGGTACCCTTGGCAGTGTCTCAGCACACATCTGCCCATGACAATAAGCTGTGTCAATTATGAGATAGAGAGTTGATGTCTCTGCTTTTCTTTCTATAGAAAAACCTACCAGCACCCACGGGGTTTGGCTGCTCCCCGCTAGTGACAGAAATAGCTGTCCCCACGGTGTGTAATACCGTAGCCCCCAAAACCTCCCAGTGGAGCGGACAAGGCATCAAAGCCTCCCCCACACCGAGTGTGTGGGATGGGGCAAGTGAGGCAGCCTTAAGAAGCCCGAGGGCCTGAGGAGCAGGCTTGGAGTTAGCCTGGAGCAGACGCCTGGAGAGAGGAGGTGTCTCTGGCTACCCTGCTGGGCAGGCTCAGCTCAAAACAGCTGTTAGCACCCCAGGCTGTGGGGAAGAGACTGAGGAGGAGGAGGAACCAGCTCATTCAGAGCAGCTGGGCACAGCAGAACCTTCTAGGATCTGGTTCTGGACTCTGCTGAAAACCAGCTATGTAATTTGGACAGAGTATTTCTCCCTGAGCCTCAGTTTCTTCATCTGCAAGATGGGTGTAGTAATGCTATTGCTGTCTGCTTCACAGGGTTGTTGGCAGGGCATGGTGATCGGTGCCCACTGGGCACAGGCAATCATAACCACACTCCCCCCAAAACCCTTCTGCTACTCCCTTTCCCCACTCACCATGTCCAGCTTGCCCTTCTTCTGCAGGGCGCTGGACAGCGCCACTGAGGTGAGCACGCAGGCTGCCAGGGAGCAGTAGGTGTTGATGACAGCCCGGTGCTGGGCATCCCCATGGTTGGACACAGCTGAGTTGAAGCTGGGCCAGTACATCCATAGGAAGAGGGTGCCTGAGCCAGACCAGACAGGCCGGTGGGCCGGGGAGACGAGACGTTAGATGAGGTCTTGCCTTTTGGGCTACAGAGATGCCAAATGGTGCACACATCCCAGCTGTTTCCCACCTGGTGCATGCCTGGTGCTCTCCTAGCTAACTCCTGCCTTCCACTCCACCCAGGAAGTCTCTCCTGACCTCCTTATCTGCTACCACAGCACCATGTGGGAGAATCTTTTTCTCCACTGCAAAGAAATGACCTGGTGGCTTTGTTGTTCCTTTACTACACTGTGAGAAGCTTCCTGATTTTAAAAGACCAGAGGAGGGGGCTGATATGTGTCTTCTTGAATGCATGGACATAGGAAGTAGGAATGCATGTCTGTCTTAGCCCAGGGACAGATGACCAATTCCTGGATACCACTGTGTCTGCCCTGGGGCATTCTGGGGAAAACACTGAATGAGTGACCAGCTTCTCCCAGCCCTATAGGCAAGAGGGGCAGACATCTGAGATCCTGGAAGTGACTACAGGCAACCCTACTCTGCCCTTTCCCCAAAGGGAACTGGCAGCCACCCATTAGACCACACGGAGATCAGGTGTGATCATGGCAGCCTGCACTCATGGCACCCTCACCCATCACGGTGGTCCTCACTCATCATAGTAGCCCTCACCCATTGTGGCACTCTCACATATCATGGCACCCTCATCCATGATGGCAGCCCTCACCCATTATGGCCACCCTTACCCATCCATGCAGTCTTCACTCATCATAGTAGCCCTCACCCATCGTGGCACTCTCATACATCATGGCACCCTCATCCATGATGGCAGCCCTCACCCATACAGCTCTCACTCATCGTGTCAGGCCTCACCCATCATGGCCACCCTTACCCATCAATGTATCCCTCACCCATCATGGTGGCCCTCACCCATGATGACAGCCCTCACCCATCATGGTGGCCATCACCAATCATGGCAGGCCTCACCCATCATGGTGGCCCTCACCCACGATGGCAGCCCGTACCCATCATGGTGGCCCTCACCCATGATAGCAGGCTTCACCCATCATGATTGCCCTCCATCCTCATGGCAGCTCTCACCAATCATGGCAAAGAGGTCCGAGTGGTACACAGAACTCTGCCTCTCCTTGCTCTGCTGTAGGTTGGGGCGGTAGAGGACCCAGGTCACAGTGAGCCCAAAGTAGGCGCCAAAGGTGTGGATAGTCATGGAGCCACCTGCATCCTTCACCTGGGGTACAAGGGCCTGTCAGTTTCTGAATCTTTCTCACCCTCCATCCTCATAGCACCCCCTTCCCACACACACAGATACAGAGGTCCAGGTGTCTCTGACTCCACAGGCTGCAGGATGGAGCCCGGGGCCCCACAGACCAATCAAATGGGAAGGAGGAGAAGATGGTGATCTCTGAACCCAGCTGTAAGCCTGTCAGCAAAATGCCACGGCTGTACTTAGGCCACCTCCTCACATCTGCATCAGACGGGGAAACCCAGGCTTGGAGGTGGACTCACTAAGAGTCACAAAGCTGGAAGAGGTGAAGCAGAGCTAGAACCCCCCATGTAGTTTTTTGCCCACTGGCTTCCACCTTGGCTTTAATTCTTGGGGAACTCTCTCCTTCCTCTGGGTCTCCCCTTGCTGCACTGCCTTTTACATAACCACCCGTGGCACAATGCCACTCCATTCAGACTTTGATTATCCGCCTTCCCTGCATTCTGTCATCCCCCTTGCCCTCCAACCTCCCAGCCAACCGCATCCCACCCTCTCCTCCCCTGTTCCCCAAAGTGAGAGTGGGCAGAGCTGGTCCTCTCCCCATCTACTCCTTCCTGTGCCTCCTGCCTGACCCCACTCTGTGCCTCTCACTTGACTTTAAGTCTCAAATTCCTCATTTACAAAGTGAAGGAGATCATAGTGACTTGGCAGGGCTGTTGTGAGGATGAAACTAGAAAGCACTTGGTGAGTGCCTGGTACTCAGGAGGTGCTCATTTGATGTTATCCTCCCCCCACCTCCTCTCTCTCCCATTTCCTCTTCTTCTCCACTCAGAACCAATCTCAGAGGGAATTCCATTCAGAATCATGGATTCACCCCTTCACTTTAGATAGGGAAGCCCAGCCAGGGAGGTCAGTGTGTTGCTCAAGGTCATAGAGCTAGTTGTTGACAGAGATGGTTTTCTCTACTAGCTGCGTGACCTTGGGTGAGCCACTTAACCTCTCTGAGCCTCAGCTTTCTCATCTGTAAAATGGGGGTAATGATTGTTCCAGCCATGAGGATTAAACCAGTTAACCCATGTAAAGCATTCAGAGCAGGGCCCAGCAAAGGACAAGTGCTCCTTAATATCAGTGATGATTATTGTACTGAAACTTATCTCAAGTAGAGGCTGAGAGGCTGTTAAGTAGGAGAAGAATTCCTGTAGCGGACTGGGGAGGGTTTTTGATGATCAAAGGGAACCTTCCTTGCCTCTTAACGCACCCCAAGACACTATCTTCCCAGCATGTTTCAGATCTCAGCCAAAAGCCCTACTGTCGACCCTCCCACCTAGCCTACCTTCTTTCTCTTCTGCATCTCACTCCACCCTCAACAGTCTCCAAGGCCTGTATATTCCACTTACTTTATCTCTCAAATTATCCATTTTCTTCTCATTGCACTAGCCCAGTCCTGGTCCCATTATGTCTCTCTAACACACTCTCTTAACTGGACTCCTTGCCTCCCAGCTGTTCTCACCACAGCCAAAGGGACACTCACCACTCCCCTGCCTAAAATCCTTCATGGCTTCCCTCTGCTCTGATGATAAAAGCAAGACTCCTTAACACAGTCTCCAGGAGTCTTGATCATCTGTGATCCTCCCGTGCCCCCTCATCAGCCTCCAAACTCCCTTCCCAATAAATCCAGTCCCCTCTCCAGCCAGACTGAGCAACTGGAGACCCCTCACTGTATGTCTCCCTCCAGTCCTTTGCACTTGCCTGTCCCTCTGCCTTGAATGCCCTTGTTCATTCCTTTGCCTGGCTAGCTCCTACTTGACTCTAGCTGACACCTCTTCCTCCAGGAAGCCTCCCTGACCTGCCAGGCTGGTTTGGGCACCCTCCTCTGGGCCACAGAGCCCCTGAGCTCACTCTTGATCACACTGCGTGGTCACTGTCTACTTACTTCTCTGTTCACTCCCTGGACTGTGAGCTCCTTGGGGATCAATTAAGTCCTGCTCCTCGGGGATCAATTAAGTCCTGCTCCTCTCTGTATCGCAGTGCCTGGAGCCGTGCCTGACACGCAGTCAGATTCCATCATGCACCCACTTGACAAATACCTAAAGAACATCTAGTAGGCATTGGGCTAGGTGCTGGGGTTAGGCATGGTCCAGAAGGATTAGGTTTCCTCTCTTTATCAGATAAGGATACATGCGATGGCAGCAATAAACCAAGACAACATCATAGATAGTGCCTGGGAGGTGGGGGGCAGCCCTGGATAGGGTGCATCTGGGAGAGCCTCTCTGGGAGGTGATAGTCAAGCTGAAATCTGAATAATAAAAAGGACGGAGGGACGAGCAGTCCAGGCAAAGGGAAGAGCACATGCAAAGGTCCTGAGGCGGGACTATGCTTGCTGTGTTTGAGGAGCAGGTAGTAGGATCTGGGCAAAGCAAGCAAGGCGGGGGAAGAGTGGGTGATAAGCCCGAAGAAGAAAGCAGGGGCAGGACATGTAGGGCCTTAGAATGAGTCTGAGTTTTATTCTAAGTGAAGTAAAAGACGACTGGAGAGCTTTAATCAGGGGAATGGCCTGTTTACACTGAGAAAAGGAGACCCTGGCTGCTGGGCAGATAAGGGCCTGAGGTGACAAGCAGGGCAAGGATGGAGGCAGGGAGATGTCAGGAGGAAGAGATGGTGGTGGCTTGGACTAGTTTGGGGGCTGAAAAAATGACTGACTGAATGATTGAATTTAGGTGGTCCCAGCTCTAGGCGGCGTTTCCTAGGCAGAGTCCAACTATAGAGGAGGAGGGAGCTAAGAAACAGGTGGGGTCCCTGAATGACCTCCTCAACGGCATCAAGGAGGTTTCTGAGCTAGAGCCAGAGGTCTAGGGTACCTCCTACCTGGGTCACTGAATTGGCCAACTCCAGGGGGCATCATTCCTGCCATGGTCTATGGAAATGGCATCCCTGGAGTTGTGCGGTGCACAATCTGTGCAGCTGTACATGTGTGCCCTGGCCACTCTCCTGGGATCCTTCCTCACAGATTTGCCCCCTTAATACACTGGCTCCTTTTCTTGGCTGAACAATCTGGGAATGTGGTGTGTGTGCGAGAGTGTGCAGGAACACCTCAGCCCTCTATCTGATGTACAGGAATGAGAATGAAGAGAGAAAACCAATGTACGAGGAGCCCCTGTTCTGCCCGGGCTCTGAGCTGAGTGTGCTAAGTGGATGATCATCCCTGCTTGGCAGATGTCATTATTCTCACTTTAGAGATGAGGAAACTGAGGCTCAGGAACTTAAGTGACTTGCCAAGGTCTGAACTAAACCCAGGCAGGCATGTCTCCTCAGCCCCTTCTTTCTCTATCCCCTTGCTGTCCCCCCAGGTGTCCCTGTTACCCCCATTCTGAGCCCTGCTCACCAGCAGCAAGTTAAGGAGAATGAACTCATTCACTGTGAAGAGGGTCACTTGGAAGAGAGTCATGATGAGCAGCTGGATAGGGCTGACTTTGCCCAGAAGTGCCCCGAAGGCCACGCAGACAGAGCCCACACAGAAGTCTGCATTGATGAGGCTGTGGAGAGACAGGCAGAGTGATGGGTGGGGGACTGAGTGCCAGCAAGAAGCAGCGCTCTCAGCCCTGGGTTTGAATCTGGGCTTTGTCTGTCTATGGATTTGGGCTTGTGACTTAATCTTTCTGAGCCTCAGTTTCACTGTCTGTGATAATGGGTACATACATGGTATGGCTACTCTAAGGATAAAAGAAATAACACACGGAAGTGCCCAGTACAGCAGCGGCACACACCAAATGCCATCCCTCCCTTTGCAGCCCCTATCCCAGGCCCCTCTACTTGCGGGCAGCTTGTGCTCTAACCCAAGTGACCTGACTGCTGTTATTGAACACGCCCCATATTTGGGGCCTGCCTTGCTCTCCATCTTTTACCTGCCCTTCCAGAACCTCCACTCACTGCCTCCTCTTTCAGGAAGCTTTCCTCGATTCCTCCAACCAGATGCAGGCTCTGTCCCCAGACCCTTTTCTCTGACTCTATACCTCTCTGCTGGCTATTAGGGCCTTGCTAGGGTTTGAGCTATTGTGCCTTCCCTTCATCTTAGCCAGGAGGGAAAATCTATGGGAAAGAGAGAGGCCTTTCTGCAGGAGGTAGGGAGCTGGATGGAGGGAGCAGGCAGGAAGACCATCAGAGAGAATGGAGGCAACAGAGCACATAGGCTCTCTCCCAGTCTGGACCCAGGAAACCTGGCACAGCCCAGCAGAAGGGTGGTGGAGAGGTGGAAAGCCAGGTGGATGCTGTGTGGTCCAAGTAGACCCTGGTTCCACCCGTCAGCCCACTTTCCCTACTGGCCTCCCTGTCCCCTGCCAGCAGCAAAGCTGTCCTGCTGGATTCCAGAGCAGCCCCTCAGTGTTGTCCCGGGTCAGGAGAGTTAATGGGGTGGTTGTAGGGACAGCAGGGGGACTCCCCATTCAGTGTTCCCTGCACAACTAACCTCCTGAGATTGGCTCAGGCGGCCCAGCTCTCCCACCCGGGCCCATTGGCTGTGGTCTCTCAGCACACTGATACCAAAAACCAAACCTGTTGCCATCAGATTGCTTCTGACTCATAGTGATCCTATAGGACAGAGCAGAACTGCCCCATAGGGTTTCCAAGGCTATAATTTTACAGGAGCAGAATGCCACTTCTTTTTCCTGTGGAGCAGCTGGTGGGTTCAAACGGCCAACCTTTTGGTTAGTAGCTGAGTGCTTAACCACTGCACCACCAGGGTTCCTTTCTCAGTGCATAGGCAGGGCAATTTTGATGTGCCAGGGTGGAGGGTCTGAGCCCAGGCCCTGGAAAGAAATCTGGCCTTGGGTCCTTCTGGTCTCTGTCACAGGGGTTGGGAGAGCCTCCCACAACACCTGGACATCATTAAAACTCCCACCTGGAGAGTCGCTGATCAGGAAGCTGTGTGTACGTGTGTGCAGGTGTATGAAGCAGGCAGGGTGTACCCCGGGTTGGATGGCAAGGAACTGGCTCACAACGCCGGGTCCCACCCTCGGGTGCCCCACCCATGGTCCCGCCCCTCCAGCCGTGGGCCCCACCCCTGGGTCCTGCGCCGGACGCACCTCTCCACGCCTATGACGATGTAGCCGTCCTGGAAGGCGTGGAACCAGCCCTGCATGAGCAGCGCCCACTGGATGCCGAAGGCTGCCAGCAGGAAGTTGAAGCCCACCGCGCTGAAGCCGTAGCGCTGCAGGAAGGTCATGAGGAAGCCAAAGCCCACGAAGATCATCACGTGTACGTCCTGGAAGCCTGTGGAGAGGCCGCAGCAGGGGATCTCAGCGGCCTAGCGGTGGCCTGCGATAGCCCAGGGTCTGGGCCAGCCAGGCCGGCGGCAGCCCTCCAAGCCCCACCTCCCC